GTCTATCTCCAGCTGTCTACGGGTGAGAGGCGGGATACACCCTGGACAGGTCGCCAGTCCATCGCAGACTTCAACATTGTTGTGTTTTCCAATGCAAGTAGCAGGCCATAAACAGTTTAAAGTGTGCTTATACCATAGGATAGTACTGTGGCTCATGAAGGAATCTGCCTGGCAAATGTCTGCAAATCTTAAGCCAAATCAGGTTAGAAAAATAAATAAATCAGCCGGTTGAAATTTCAGCTTGGACTTATTTAGGTAGTGGACTAATGCACTCCAACAAGAAGTACTTACAGTTTTGCCAAAAGCAGTTGAAAAAGTTTGCCCACCGGTGAGTGGGCTAACTTCATAATTTCTTTGTAATATCGGTAGATATAAAATGTTTAAGATCTGTCTTTTCCTTAAAGGAGGCTATAAAGAAGGTACTAATAAGAGACAGATGTTAAAAAAAAAAAAAAAAAAAACACAAAACCCTGTTAGAAACACTTTGATCGAACAGCAATAACAGTAACTTTGCTGTTTATTAGCCAGGGGCTGAGATAGTTGGGGGGCCAGGGGTGGCCATGGCCACCCTCAGCCAATCATTGGCCACCACTACCATTTTTCCCCTCTCATACAGGTGGTGGCAACAGTAATACTCTCAAGTGGAATATTCAAAACATTTTATTTTTTTGTGGTTAATTATACACATCAATATACTAACATCAATGATGATGAGTACAGAATTCCTACTCTTTTCAGAACTAGATTTTGTGTTTTATGGGGTAAAGAGAAAATGATGTGTCTCTGCAAGTCATCTAGGAATCTTCAGTGAAATAAAAGATAAATAAAAATTTTGATAAAAAACTTCAAAACTTCGACATCAATCAAAAAATGTAATAATCAATTTATGTAGATATTGGTGCTTCTAAATATTCGTTTTATGCAGAATGTTTATTGATTCAAGTAGGTAAGAAATGACAATGATGATTGATTTACGCCCCAGAACTCAAAACTGAGGTTTATCCACTATACCTTTTATCCAGAAATTATGGATTTTAAATATATTTGTTAGCAAAGGCTGTAGGAAAGTATATTTAGTCTTTATTTAGAAAATATTTATGTTATGCTTGTTAATGTTCCTGGCATAAACCAGTTTCCAACTGGGATAAATACGTTTCCAACTGGCATTTACCATTTTTCAAAACTGGCATGCCAGAAACCACTTTGGACTCTCGCTGTAACTCCATACGGGGCATTAAATTACATATCACGTAAATGTTGGAGTAAAAAGTATATGTCTAATAAAATACTAATTTAATGAGTACTTAATGGTATAATGTTATAAAGTATCTAGCTAAATTGTATTTTTTACATTTCAATCTGATCCTGTCAGACCTTGGAGCCATACATTTTTCTGACAGACCAATACTACCACCTGCTGATGGCAGATTGTCACCTTTCAAACCCAACTAGTAGAACAACTTTTGTCTTAGTCTTTTAAAGAAAATAGGATTTTAATCAGTTTTTTTTATGTAAATTAAAGTCCAATTTAAAGGAAAATCTATATATTAATCTAGTTAAACTAAACTTAAGAATCTTATCCTTTTGTTGTTTTTAGAGGTTATTTATCTTTAGACTACATAATATATGGCTAAAATCATTCTCATTGGATTTGTGAGTTTAAGTGTGGTTTATACTGCACTGCATCTACTTACATTGACACGGTATTTGAATAAAATAAGAGTGCTTTTAAAAAGGGATGACTTTAACTGTAAACTGGTTTAAGATCTCCACTGTGAGCTCCAGTTTTTGGAAATCATTTGTGGAGTAAACCAGCGCAGTATCTAAAAAATCTAATTAGATATTTTAAATATCTAATTAAGAAATGTATGTACATCCCAGTCCAGTTCCCCTTCACATTCACCTTTACATTCATTTGTGCTTTAATATCACAAGTCGTGATATTAAAGGGTTGTGTTTTATTAGCATATCTTCTAAAGATTTGTCAGTAATTTAGAAAGACCTATAAGATATATATTATATTTAAGATTTTGATTTAAAAGTCGCATTTAGATTTAGGATTTAAATGTAACTATTCAATAGAAATTTGTATTTACTAATTTATTTGAATTAGGACAATGCACGTTTATCAACATGGCAGCTTAAAGCATCAATATAAATATGCCAGAACTGGCATATTCATAACAGCTAATTTGCTTCTGCTGTCCTAAAGCAGTAACAGTAAACAGACAGATAAGATGCCAATAACATAAAACCACAGTAAAATAAGGTAAACAGGCCCAAAGAAATTCACCTGTGAACACATGTCTGGTTAGATTTCAATCAATGTTTCAAGGAGATTTAAAACTTGTGTAGATTCCACAGCCCCTAACAAGAGCTGGCAGTTCAGGTTTAAGATATATATTTTGTTTTTCTGTAAGATATATTTTAGGTCCTGGTTTAAGATTAGATTTAAAACATATTTAAATCTAGACTTAAGCTTTTAAACAAGTGTTCATTTGTAAGACTTAGATTTAAGATATGTCTTGCTTTAAGATTTATATTTATATTTTGAATTAGAAATTTGACTAAGATTTACATCTATGTAGATTGAAGATTTTAGAATGATATTTAGAATCGAGATGTAGATTTAAGATATATATTTAGACTTTTTTGTTTTCATTTGTCAAGCTCATTTGGAGCAATGGAATACGAAAAATACAACACAAGATAAAGTTATGTGAGGTAGATCTAAATTACATCAATCAAAGGAGCTTATGTTGACAAACACATATGCACATATCTCTTTAATTGTTTATAATGGAGCCTAGTTGGAAGTTCAACTGAATAAAGTGATTATTCACCTTCATTCGCCTACGACAGCCAATCAGCTCTGATCCACGCCTCCATGAAAGCCAATAAGCATTCAAAGTTCATCTTAAAAGGCCTCCGATACGCAGCTGTCCGCTCCTGTGCCCAGGCGATGGATGCGCTGTGACTTAATTCAGATGACCCCCTTTCAACCCACCTCCTTCCCCTCCTCCACCATCGTAGCTAAAGCTTCATCAGAGCGTCATTCCTCCTGAACTCTTACTGTGTTCCACATCTCATTTCAACCAGTCCGACAGAAGGCCGCCATGTTGAGCCTGGTTCTGCCAGAGGTTTCTTCCCAATGAGGAGTTTTTTCTCTCCACTGTCGCTTCATGCTTGCTCATCATGGACAGGTTCTCTCAGCCTGTGTTACCCAAACTGGAATTTCATCTTCCAGGTCCCTGCTCTAGCATCAGCTCACCCAGTCCACTGGATCTCCCCATAAAGCTCAGCATACCGTCTCGCTAACCAGCCATCTACAGACTGACCAACTTCATCTATCTCCACTCCACCACCAGTTTCAGGCCTGGGGGGGAAACAGCCCTGTGTTTTTCTCCTGTTCATGCATGTCTATCAAAATTCAGCGCTATGTTTCCTGCCGAGGTCTGAGCGCCAAAGACAAAGTAATTTTATCAATACATTTCTTCTAACTGTCTTTTCTCTCTGTGTTTTTCAGATTGAAATAGCAAATACAGAACTACACACACATGTCGAGTTGGAGAGGCGCGAGCCTCCAACAACAGGTCCAGCTCTTGCCAAGTGTCTAGTTCTCTGCATTGTTTTTAGATTTTAAGCACATATTATGATTTGAGATTAGATTTTAATTTAAATAATTTGAGAGACCCCAGAACTAAAGGGTTTTGATTTTATTTTAAAAGTTCACCCTTTTATTAGATGGGAAAAATTAGTTGGATTGTTTTTAAAAGGAAAACCCGGAGTACCCTGAGATAACCCAAAATGAGAGATCCTAGATATAAAAGTGTTGGTTTAATTTTAAAAATTCACCTATTTATCACAGGGAAACTTTTACAAAAAGATTTTTGTTTGCTTGATGTTGCTGAAGCGCCAAAGATAACAGAAATTGTGCATCTGTGATCTAGGGGCAGGTAGTAGACCCTCATGAATTTATTTAAACTGGTTCCCAAAGGGTTTGGTAAAAGCTGAAAATTGCTGAAAATCCAATTTTCATAAAAAAACTTCAAAACTTCAACTTCAATTAAAAAAATAAAATGATAAATTTATGTAGATATTAGTGCTTCTAAATATCAATTTTATGCAGAATGTTTATTGATACAAGTAGGTAAGTAATGACAATGATGATTGATTTACGCCCCAGAACTCAAAACTGAGTTTTATCCACTATACCTTTTAATCTAGAAATTACGGATGTTTAAATATATCCGTCTATTTGTTAGCAAAGGCTGTAGGAAAATATAGTTTGTCTTTATTCAGAAAATATGAATGCTTTGCTTTCCTGTTGGAACAGTGAACTGCGAGGTTCTGGTGCTGATCCGCTTTCGGCCACCCCTCAGTGTACATTGTTTATTGCCTGGCCACCCTTTTAAAAAACTTCTGGCTACGCCTCTGTTATAGCTACACTATAACGCTAAAATAATTAGATCAAGTGTCTTTATTTTTAAGAAATTGGAGCAGTTCTGAAACCTGACCACTAGGTGTCATCCTACACCTTATCTGCATAACTGAACTCCTCGCATGTTGATGCTAAAAATAAAACACGCTGTTGAATCGTTTAGGATTAAACCACGTTCAAATAGTCAATAAAGTCGTTTATTTCTGCAATATAATGTATAAAAGATAAAAGTGTGGCAGCATATGGCAGCATAAGAGAAATCAGGGCTAACGTCCTTTCTTTCAGGTCAAATTTAGGCCGTCGTTTCTCCTCGTTCCCAGCAGGTGGCGCCAGTTGCATGCAAATCTAATCAGATTAAATGGCTCCAAACGAGGAAACAGATCAACTCCTGTCTGTCAACCAGTAAATCTATCAGCTGATCAGAGAAAAGACTGTTTTCCGTCTTGTGGTTTTTAACAGAGCAAAGCCACAGTATTTTATTTTTTTTTTTTTAAGTTATGCTCTTTTAAAATTTGACTGCTTTTTGAAAAGAGTTCAGAGCAAGTTTTTTTTTTTTTTTTTTTGCAGAGGGAAATCCGCGTCTGACTGGCACGCTGCAAAGCCGTGACGCAATCCACGCTCCGCTGCTGCAACATAATAAAATATGAATCGCCGGTGCGTCGATGGTCGGAGCGCTCCGTGGGAAGGAAGGGGGTGTGGCGCCAACTAACCTAGTCGTTCACCAAAACAATGCACGCCCGTGATCTGTGCCAGTGGGGCGTTTAGTAAAGCCCGGAACCAGGAGCCAGGTGTGACCAGGCAGCCCTCAGCAGTCTCCTCTCCTCTGCAGGCTGCAGGGGCAGAAGGCGCTCCAAGCGGGGAATCTCAGCGCATTACGCAGATTCTCAACCTTGATGCAGAAGAACCGAGCGGTCTGAGGAGGAAGGGGGTCCGATAAGAGTAAGGTAAGCCAGGAACAGGGCGGATGGAGCAGGACCTTTAAATAATAGAGACAGTCAACAGGGATGTTCCCCACCTTTTTCCTCCAGCCTTTATGTATCTGGATGCTACAGTGCTGTCCAGCATCACATCTCTGTTTTCACAGCGTACTCGAGCGTTCTAATTTGGGATTAAATTATTCACAGCTGACATAAAGCAGGGGTTTACTCTTGGAAGTGGCACCGATCAACCCAGAGAGCTTCTCATTATTCACGCAGCCCACTGTGAGCTGCACAGGTCATAGGGATGCTGATGCTGATGCTCAGCCTCCTCTCCTCCTCTGGGTCCCCCTCAGCAGGCCACAGAATCCAGAAGGGGCCCTAAAAATGACAAAGGGCCGTTGCTAGACATACATGCTTACTGAAGGGCATGATCTGAATATAAATAAAGGTAGTCTACATATTATCTATCTATCTATCTATCTATCTATCTATCTATCTATCTATCTATCTATCTATCTATCTATCTATCTATCTATCTATCTATCTATCTATCTATCTATCTATCTATCTATCTATCTATCTATCTATCTATCTATTATTTTTACATCATTATTTAAGCATCCCATCTTTATGGTGCTGATTCCAACTGTGGGGAAGTGTCTAGGTAACATAGTTTTTTGTTTTTTTTTATGTCACACCAAGTATTTGACATGAGTGTCTCTTGCAGAGTTATTTCCTCTTGCCACTTCCTGTTGGAGTTGAAATTAATTCCTCAAATCCATTGGAACTAGAAAAAAAAGATGGTTTCATATGACAGTTTCAAAATAAGGTGAACTGGTGATATTGTATTTGAGAAAATGGGTCATGGTCTCTCATCCCTACATGTTTCTGGGTGGTGCTTGTCTTGACTGTTGCTCAATGTTCACTTTATTGGAAAATTAGTAACCAATCAGTAGCAAGTATTATTGAAAGGTAAAAAAAAAAAAAAAAAGCCCTAAGAGGTACTGTATCATTTAATTTCCCTTTAGGATAAATAAAGTATTTCTGAATTGAGACTTAAATGTATATTTTGGCTCCCTTAGTAGTTTTTCATAGTTTGTTTTTAAAGCATGTAACTTAAGGTATAATTGCTCACTCTTTCCTCAGTGTTTTTTAGTAAAAGATTTTTTTAAAATCTTTTAAAGTGGATCTTATCGACTTTGAACGGTTTATATCCCAGAGCAAAAGTCCCAGTAAAGTATTTATGTTGACACCTCTCCTGAGACATAACTCATTGTTTTAGATCCAAACATCTTTTTAATTCCCTTCAAATGCAAATGTGGATTGAGAGTAATTACATTAATCTCAGGCAGTTAAATACCAGCGCCATTAATACATTTTATTTTTTTAATTTTCTGCCCTGGAGCAGAATTGAACAGATTGTCTGTTTTTTTTTTTTTTTGTTGTGTATATGCAGGCTCATTCCCACCCAGATCCATGGACAAGCTTTCAGTGCAGATTCCCTCTCATAAGGAGAGTGAATGCCTCTAAGACATAAAGGTAAGAAGAGCTTCCTTGTGTTTTTTTTTCCTACTCGACCTTGTGTGTGCATGTTTTTTGGGTGGTGGTGTTGAAACAGATCCACAGCCTCAAACGGCTGCTTCCAGTTCCCGCCTTACCTTTTCTCACTTTAATCTCCCTTGCCTGAACTTCTCCTTCCTCAGTCCGTGTTTCGATCCTGCCATTGTGTTTTTGCATAAAGAGTAAGTCAACAGGGAAAAGCGTTTCCTTTATTTGAAGAGATAAACCGCTGTAAGGGTAGAAACAAACAGTGGCAGCTGGTCCAGCTGAATAAGCCATTGTTGTTGGTTGAAACAGGCCTCCAATGATGGCAGATTCTGGGAATTATGTCCAGTTAACTGGATCTCCTGGATGACCGAATCTTCACCAGCATGTCCAGTAAACCCATGAAAAAAAGAAAACAGGCTAGGCCGTGCAGTTTTTTTTTTTTTTTTAAGTATGTCCATGTTTACATACTTGTGTGAAGCTGGCGTTGAGCCTTTCATCTTTAACTGCAGCTCATATGCTGTTAAATTCATCCTCAGGGTGTTTGGCAAGCTGTCTCTTAGTCAGCAGTCAACCCTATGCTTCATCCGCCTCATCGTTAAAGCCACGTGTCGGGCCTGGAACATTTCATATTCGCTGCCGTGTTGTTTAATTTAATATTACAAAGGATAAAGAAGGAAAGGAAGGTCGAGGGAGGGACGGTTTAGGTTACAGGAGACATCTCAGATTATGAAATATCTATTCATTCTCTTTGAATAGTTCTACTGCTGTAGTGTTATATCTCCAGTGTAAGTAGAGCACTTTTGTGCACAAAGACAATTGATTAATTGGATGGCACTGTGGTAAACAGCACACTGATAACTGAAACTTTCACTGCATTTTCCTTAATTATCTATTGGTTATTAAAAGATGAAGTTCTTTGAAAGTCTATCCATACTCCTCAGGCATCTGCCTGCAACAAGCTTCAGTTTGTTAGACGCATATGCATTTTTAATTTTGCGGCAGGTTTGTGGATGGATTTAGGTTTGAACTTTGACTAGACCATTTGGACACATTAATGTGACCTGAATTCCATTCCCTTTATGTCCTACAGTGAAGATGGTGTGGTTACGACTAGGGCTGCCACTAATGATTATTTGGCAAATCTATTAATCTGTCGATTATATTTTCAGTTAATCGATTAATTATCAGATAGCCAAAGGTTCATTAAACAAAAATGTTTCCACTTGAGTTCTCAATGTTTTTCAATCCTGGTCCTCAAGGCCCACTGCTCTGCATGTTTTGGATGTTTCTGAGCTTCAGCACACCTGATTCAGATGATTGCAGTTCAGCAAAGCCTGGTAATCTGCTATCTATTGATAACAGGTGTGTGAAAGCTGGGAAACATCTAAAACATGCAGGGCAGTGTGCCTTGAGGACCAGGATTGAAAAACACTAGGATAGATCATATTGACAAATGAAAACTTTTTTTTAACTTTAAATGCTTAATATATGTATATATGTATATATATATATATATATATATATATATATATATATATATATATATATATATATATATTTACAATTTTGATAAAATTATTGCTCTAAGTGGTTTGCTCTGTCAGCTAAAGGCATGTTTACAGTCTCTATATTCTAGTTAATGATGACTGTAATCGATTGCTAAATTAGTTGATGATTATTTAAATAATTGATAAATCGCAATTAATCCAATTAATTGTTCCAGTACCATTTAAGACTATTCTTGTGCACTATTTCTTGAGATCAGATTGATTCTGGCTAAGGTGTAGAAATACAAAATTGCAATTGAAATATGTCTTGTTTCTCCAGCAGCAGCTATCTTTAAAAGAAACAAAAGTGAAATGCGGTTTAATCTTCTAGTGTTTTTTTGAAATTTTAATAGATGTGTAATGTTCTCAATATCTCACTGAGTTCCAGTCCTCTGACTGCATGGCGTTGAGGTCTCTTGACTGCTCCTCTGAATAATAACGTCCTTAGATGGCGGGTCAGATCAGACTGTTGACCTTGTCTTTGTAGGTGTGGAGTCGTTCCATTGATACTCAGGTCTTTCATAAAACAGATGCACTACATTTTATTTGAGGATGTCAGAGTAAATTTGGCAGGAAGGGACTCAACCTAAGCTTAGTTTAACGCCCCCCCCATTGACATAACACTGAGATCAACCCTTTACAGCAGCTTTTAGAAACATCCAGACCTTCATGCAACCTGTCAGAATGCAGCTACATTTGGGCTTGAGTTCTGCAGCTGCTAAATATCCGATATCCCTCCTGTCAGACACATATCTGTGCTCACAGCAGACAGTCTGGTTTCCTTTCCTCATCTGCAGGGGGAAAAATGGTGTCATGCAATAGTGTTTTGCCACGGATGAATGCATGAGCGTGTACATACACAGAGCATGCGGCTTATAGCACTTTCGCTGTCAAAATTAAACGGCTTCTGGGGTATTCGTCAGTGCTGTCACAGAGACAAGCAGCCACAAGTGCCACAGCTCTAATGATGCCACTACAGCTGCTGGTTTAGTTTTAGTACACATAAAAAACAGAGAAGTGCTCTTTATCAGGATATGAACTGAGTAGAACTGAACCATAACCCGTATCTAATCCACCCCTATTTCCAGAGCATCTGTAGCAGCTGGAAAGCAAAGCTTTTATCTTCCAATTACTGTTGATGAGAAATAAAAGGGAAGCATTTGGTCCTGGAGCTTCTCTCCTATTGCAACGATCACAGCAAACAGGAAGTTCCAGCATTACAGAGAAATGCGGAAGTTAGCTTGATTGCACACAGACGTTTGACCTACAATCAATTTGCACATTAGGATGATAATACTAGAGCTGACTGGAGGGTAGCAGTTTTTTTCTTCAGTTATGTTAAAATGTCCTTATTAAAAACTGATCAGATCCGGGAAGTGGGAAAGTCATGACAAAGATAAAGGTATATCTAAGTTGTGTCATCTTCTTTTTATCAATTCTGTTGACATCTGTAACTGGGGCAAGAAACCACAATTTTACTATGAACTGTTTCACCATTCGCATGGAAAGTTGTAGCTCAATGGGTTGTTATGCACTTTTTTTTTTATTATTCTTGATCAATCTTACATGTTTACCTTATGAAGCCTTAATATGAAGCTGTTCTTTTTGTAAGAGTTTCCAAATTTTTTACTCTCTTAAGAATTTCTGACAATCTTTTTAACTTGACCTTTTACATGCAGAGAAGATCTGCTAGGGTCATTTTTAAGTGTTTTGAAAAACTTCTGCATTCTGCACTTCTGCTCATTTCTGGTTTGGGTTGGAATCTGCTGTGAAATACTCTGAGTGTAGAGATCACTCTGCTTATGTTGATGATGGAGTTCTGTTAGTCATGTTAATGGTTGACCTTTAGTCAATAGATTCTGGGATTCCAATTACAAAGCAAAACACATTATATAGATTACTTTAACACATACAGAGGTTGTTAAGACCTTAAATGTTTACAGATGATCTGCTTGCAGCTAATTTAAAAACAAAACTGAACATTTAATTTTTAAAAGAGAAAAGTGGGCATAATTAAATCATATTTTAACAACTACCATACTTTTAATCAGACAAATTGGTCAGAATGTATATTGCGATTGTTTATGACTTTATGGGAGACAAAATACGCTGTATATGAAGTATATGTGAAGGGAGATTGGTTTATGTTGCTAAGAAGTCTGACTAGTTACTTCAAGATGTGAAAAAATATATAATAAAACCTCAAAGGTTAAACATTAAATACTACTATTGGAATTCCAGGCACTGGTATGCTATTTGACTAATATATAACTGAGTTAACCAAAGAAATTTTTATTGATAAACCTTTTTTGTTGCCACACTTAGAGATACTCCTGATTCTAAGAGCTTCAAAGCCTCATTTTAAGTATCAGCAATACTTGTTTGTGAACTAAAGAGAAAAGAGTATTTAACTATTAATATGTTTCAGTAAATCGACTCATATTTGATGTTTGTTTCTGTTTTCTTTCCCCCTCTTCTTCCTCTGTGTGTTTTGTAATTGAATGGATTTTAACTCCCACCAAAACCCCGAAGCTGTTTGAGTTTCATCAGCGGCAGTTACAGATTATTAACTTCAGATTATGAATTACTTAATGCCTTCGAATGTTTGTGTGCATTGATCTCTAAACTGTCAAATTGGGTTACATGGCACAAAGCGTCGATATCTAATGCAAATCTACTTGGCGTGAAATATGCTTGGTGCCTCTTGAGCACATAAGCTCCTCCTAATGATGAAAATCGTTTTATCTCAGTGTTTACGGGAAAGATCTTAGTGAAGAGCGGAAGTCGTCTGGGGAAAGTGTCCCAAATTCTCTGAAATGATGTAACAGCCCTCTCTTTCTACCATCCATCTTATCTGAGATTAATGATTCTCTTTGCTGTCCAAATGTATTTAGAAACATTCACAGCAGGTCTTCTGACCAGAACAGAAGGAGGACAGAGGGATGAGTGCAGACGCGGATGAAAAGCTTCACTGTTATCATGGCAACCACCAAATCATTTCTATTGTGATGTTTGGAATGATGATGATGGTAGATCTAGGTTTGAGAGGAAGGAAAACCAGTTTGATCCAGCAGAGCACTGACAGAGCTCTTCATTTCTGCCAGTTTGATTGTCTTTTTTTCCTGTAACGTCATGACTCAGTGCGTGGATACTCACTGTCCAAAAGCACCTCTGAGCCCTGCAGGAGCTCATCTTGCAAAAATAAACAGATTCAGGACTGTGTCAGCTTTCTGTTTCCCTTCATGTGGGAAGACTTCACAGCATACAGCCTTTTGAAGGTTCAAAAAAATATTCAGGCAACTATTTGCTTTCCTGAGTTAGCTTATCAGTTAACAAACGGATATATGTAGGCCAGGTGGCCTAGTGGTTGGGGCATTGAGCTTGGATCCCAGAGGTTTTGAGTTCAAGCCCCACTCCCACAGACTGCCACTCTGGGTCCATTAG